TAAAATGTATAAGCCCTCTCTGCCCTTGGCTATTCTACGCTGTCCAGCAGGCAGGCAGGGGGGATCCGCTCGCCTCACGGTTTCATTACCGCAATACGATTGCTAGCGAATCGACGCGACCATCCGCATCGGTATTTAATACGTGTTAACAAGTTAACCTCCAGTACTTCAGGAAGAAATTAAACGAAATAGTCTGAATTTGGCCAACCGAAACGTGACCCGACCCCTCCATTCGTAATGCTAATTGCCGCACTGTCTTAACTGATCTTCTTTGTGAAAAACCTTAGCTTGTGAGCTTAAGAGCAACTTCATGATCGACGAACTTCTAGGAACTCATCGTCGTTGACGCTAGAGTTGTCGGCTCATTTACAAAATAGCAAAGGAGCAAATAGCAAAAAAGTGCCAATTAGCTGGAATGTATATTCCCTGCGGCTTTTGCTGTTGTGCTAGTGTGTAAAAACGCTATGGCTGATATACAGAAGAGCAAAGTAGCAAAATTCACTTTACAAACACGCAAATTTGCCGTTTTGTATAACAGAAACTGCTCGAATGAATATCGTTTACTTGTTTATATTTCAGAAAATTGCTAGAATATATAAACGTTGCCGCTATGTGAAGTGCTACTATGTAACAAAATTGAGCAATTTTGCTCAAAGAAGGGGCAAACCGATAAATTGCTCCTTCCACTATTGAGCAAATTGCTACTTTTCAGAGGAGCAATTTGTCGCTTTGCAAATGGACAACCCCGCAATGGAGCAACTTTTTGCTGTTCTACAATCGGAGGAAGAAATTGAAATTTCGCACGCGAGAGTCGAACCTTGGTGGGTTGTTGGTGATTGTGTTGAGCATTGCATTATAGCTTCGAAGTCTCTGAGTGGTGACTATTTTGCAAAGTTCTTTGGTTCTGTCGATATAGATAAGTATAGTTGCAGCACTGGGAGAATGATGGATGGACTATTGTAAGTGGTAGTAGGTCGTTAGTAAAGACTTACATTCGTTAAGGGTTCGTTGGATTTTCATATTTTCCACATCATTGCAGTTCGCACATGGTCACAGAACGACGAGGGAGAGGATTTGTGTTTACATGGTAGTTCGTATTAGGCGGAATCACTCGTACTGAGTGATCCGAGATCACTTATTTGGATCAGCATGGATCACTCATCTGCAGTGCAGTGCTGTATTGCAGGCACCCCAGTGGTGCCCATGCGAGATGTCGTGGCTTTCATACTCGCACCCTGATCCCTACGTGGCCTATTGCATGCGAACCAATATGCTCTTCCGTAGTCTGAACAAATACTGGTCATTGCAGAAAGATGCCTCTCGCGAACATCGAAATTATCGAGGAAAGATGCAGGCTGGCTTAGCAGTGCTAAGCTAGCACTCCGCATCTACCCGACGCTGAACAAGTTCTCCCGAGGTACCAGATGTGAGGAGAAAGTGCGAAAGTACTCGCCTAACAACAATGCTATTTTATTGGTGGAGGAGTATGAGAGCCACGCGGCAAAAGAATTGCAGCACGAGCGGTCGAAAGAGGACGAGCGTGAGGAATCGAAGTAGTTTCTCCCATCACTGGAGACTAGCGACCATGTACGCACTCGCAGTAAGGTAGGCACCTCAGTGGTGCTCAGCTGTTGTAGCTGCTACAAGTAGCTGTCTCGGTGATTGGTAGAGATAATTTGGATGTTCCTCAATATGCTTCTCATGCGACCAGTACTCTTCTCAGGACTTACAGTAACTCTAGTGGTGCCCGGGAGTGAATATTGTGTGCGGGAGGCTGTAGAGTTCATAATCAGTAATTTAGGCCGTGCTGCGTTTCCCCTGTACAATCCTTCGACACCTCTGCAAAGTCCATAACAATAGCTCCAGGAAGACGCTCCGATGAGTGCCACTGCCCATGAGCGAATGTTTCTCGTGTAGAATGTCAAAGTTGCACGTAATGCCTACTTGAGGGTTTAGCTTCTGGGTATTGTTGAGTCGTCAATACGTACAATCGTAGTGAACCATGAGACACAACTGATACGATGCGAAAAGAGAGAGGATACTCGAAGATGGGACTCAATTTAACTGTTATCTCATCTGATTCAATCGCGACGTGCAAGGGCAATCATGTGTTTGGTATTCAGCATTGATCATAACTCGCGCTGTCTTCGGAGTGAATGATATATCTAACTAGAGTGCTATCACCGTGATAGCACTCTTATAGTATCACGCTTTGACCCGATACTAAGTGACTCACTTGAAGTGAGACACGAGGTGTGACACCTCTGATAGATACTTAGTAAATGCACAGGACATGAACATGCACCAAAATGGATATGAGGCGCAATACCGTAATCGAACGAGAAATGCTATCCCGTAACTATGTTTGCTCGATTGTATATTGATCGTACGAATAATGCAAAAGGGCAAGTTTGCTAATAACGCTAACAGAGACGGAGTTTGAGCGAATGAGCAAAACGCTAGTATATATTCCCGCAGGGCGTGAGTTACAAGGGAGCAAATAGCCGAAACATAAAAGTAGCGCAGCGTTGTCACATACCGGCAACTGCCAATTTGTATATTTCATGCAGGAACATCACACAATAGCAAACCTTAAAAGTTGCCAGACTACATAATTACAACGCAAAACATATCAAACAGCAAATGAGCACAACTTGCCAAAATAACGAAAACGTGCGGGCGAAGCACACTTGGGCAAAAGTGCCAGCGTGTAAAACATTCCGGGGAAATATACAATGCAGCAAAAAAAGAGCAAAAAAGAGCGACTTGCTGGAAATCACTTTTGGATTTGCTACTTTCAACATTTGGTTGCTAAAACCTATACCCGAAATTGCTAGGTTGTAAATGTGGTTGCTACTTTGTAACTGCGGAAGCAGCACATACAAAAGAGCAAAAAAGTGAGACTGTCAGGAATTATAGCATTTGGCAAATCCGCAACATTAGCAAAAAGTTGCGATTGCCGGATTGTATTACACCGGAGTTGTCACAGTAGAAGCAGCATACCATAAATAGCGTTACCTCCGCAGGTCCACATATCGTGTTCTCAGTTTTTCTATCTTGGTACTTTTCCTTGTTGACATTTCGTCTCAACATGTCCATTGCAGTTCAAAGTAAGCAACAACAAGAACAGAGTTTCATCCAGAAGTACCCCATCTTGGTCGACTTCATGACCGGTGGTACCTCTGCTGCTATCTCCAAGACTTTGGTGGCCCCCATAGAGCGTGTTAAGATGCTCCTCCAGACGCAAGATTCTAACCCCGATATTGTCTCCGGTAAAGTCGCTCGTTATAACGGCATCGGCGACTGTTTCATGCGATGCTGCAAAGAGCAAGGCGTGTCCAGCCTCTGGAGAGGCAACTTGACCAACGTCCTCCGTTACTTCCCCACCCAGGCATTCAACTTCGCCTTCAAGGACAGCATCAAGAGCATGTTCCCCAAGTACGATCCCCATAGCCAGTTCTGGAAGTTCCTCGCTTCCAATGTCTTCTCTGGTGCTGCTGCTGGTGCCGGTTCTCTTTGCATCGTCTATCCTCTCGATTACGCTCGTACTCGTCTTGCTGCTGATGTTGGCAAGGGAGCTGATCGTGAGTTTAAGGGTCTTATCGACGTTATCACTAAGACCTGCCAGAGGACTGGTTTCTGGTCCATGTACCAGGGTTTCAGCATGTCCATTCAAGGGATCATCTTCTATCGTGGTGCCTACTTCGGCCTGTATGATACCATCAAGCCCCTTGTGTTCAAGGATGAGAAGAATGCTAATGTTATTGCCAAGTTCGTCCTCGCCCAGAGTGTTACTGCTGTTTCTGGTTTGGTATCTTATCCCTTCGATACTGTCCGTCGTCGTATGATGATGATGGCCGGCCGTGGTGGCAACGCTGTCCAGTACTCTTCCAATTGGGACTGCTGGGTCAAGGTCTTCCAGGAGGAGGGTGTCCCTGGTTTCTTCAAGGGTGGCCTTTCTAACATGCTCCGTGGTGTTGGTGCTGCTTTGGTTCTTGTCTTCTATGATGAGTTCAAGAACGCTATCAATAATAAGGTAGCTCAGAAGAGCCAGTAATCATCATTCTAACTGTTGTTGCCTTATACGATGATGAATTAGCTCTATCATTTCTTCATATTTAGCTTACACAGTTATTGACAATATGTATCTAGCCCACCTTACCTCTGGGGTTGGGTGATTTTCATCCAATGTTATGTTCTTGTCGATAAAGTGTGCTGCTCTACTCTCTATTTATCAGTGTTGCTCATACCATTTCTGATTGATTTATGATGAATGGAAGTTTCTGAGTCGTGTTCTATTATCTTCATGGGAATGAGGAATAACTAGCAAGAACTGCATTCGGATCAATGAAAACCGAATGGTTCTTAGAACTGCGGTGTTGTGCAATCTCGTAGGTAGTATAAAATATGATAGTGTTCAAATGGGAAATACCCGAGTGTGGAAGCTTCTAGAGGGAGAGCTAATATCTCTCATGTATCTCACCAATAAAATTTTGGTATTATTAAGGATTTGAACACGAAAAAGTAGTAACGTATAAAGAATGGATCATGTGAGAATGTGAAGTTCCTCAATCACCGCTGAGAAGGTCTATCATTTCCACTGGCGACACCTTCCTTCTCGTCGTCAACAACTGCTCCTATCCATCAAAAACAATACTAAGCATATACAACGTAAATAGTTTCCTACCGATATTCGCAATGGTCTTCTTGGACTTGATGATGAATTGCTCATTGGTTCCTGTCATCAACATACAATACAACATTATCATCTACAAGGGCCTACCTGCAACTCGTAGCTTTCGCTGTCTGGTTCGGAACTAACTCTAGAGAAAGGGGATTACCGTCGGGGTTGCCTCGTGGACTTACCTCGAGTAAGAGCCAGAAGGGTCGAAGCCAGCCGCTAAGTCTCTCATCACGCCCACTACAGCTGCCACTACAGGCCCTAGCCATTGAATGCTGGAGGGTAGAGACTACAGTGGAGTTCACCTGATGAGTAGTGGTCACGGATTTGTCTGTGTGATTTTCGTGGCGCAGTGACGGTCTCTGTTGCCTCTTCCGGAGAGAAGCGCAGGATGGGCACTATGAACAGCATGCCTACCGCCAGCACGATCAAGATGAATAACATATCGCTAAGGCGTGATGACAACGTAACCATCGTATAATAAATGCCGTGATACGTACCTATTCCGGGCGAGCGGATCCCGAACCATCGCGGTTTCGGGTATTGTCGTTGTAAGGGACATGAGATGAGCACTGCAAAGCAGAAATATGAGATTTGTATTGACAACCCCACACGATCTATTTTGAAACATTTGTTATCGTGGTACAGAACCACTCCCAACAGCAGAGCCGCCAGTAGAGACTGCTAGTTGTTGCATGATCTCTCGTACATCAGCAGGGAGGCTAGCAACCTGATAATAGACGTGAATTAGGCCTATTAAGAGCAGCTCTAGAAGCACTCACCTCAGCTGGAGTCATCTGTGCTAGTTGCTTGCGTAAAGCCTCCTTCGTGTCGGCCGGCAACGCTGCGATGTCCACAGCAGGCTGAGAGACATGTCAGCAACCACAACGATATGGTACGATAAGGCCACTCACTTTCTTCATTGCATGATGAGGTGCTGATCCGCTCGTACCAATAGAAGTCACTCGAGAGATGGTACCAACCGTTGTTGCTCTGTAATGAAGATAAATGCATCGCTCCGCTAGACTTTACGAAATTGCGTTTACCTTGCACCAGCAATGCTCGCCCCTGCAGCGAGTACACCAGCTGGCAACACGCCGCTCATCATCATAGGATTGGAGATACCTGGACGACCATTAATGCGACCGGAGGTTCATAAGTTGATGGTCTTACCAGCCTGGAGCTGAGCAGTGGGGTCGGTTACCAGACTGATGGGGACAGCTCGGGGAGGCTGTATAGGCTTTACAGGACATACTCGATGCTGTTTAAGAGCCTTGATACGCTCTTCTGCATATCTGCATATCGATCACTCCAATGGATATGCAAGCCAACCAACTATCGGAGACTCCCTAGTTCGAATCCCCCCTCTAGCATTATTACATCATATCATCCGGCGTCATCGGGAAGGTCGGCTCCGACGTGAATCCCAGCAAGTACGCAACATGGTTGATGGCCAGCGGCAGCTGAGGATGCGCCACGAACAGAGACCCTATGATGCAACAGCGCTAGCATGCTCCAGCAGCTTCCCAGTCCTCTCACGCGCTGCTTCTGGGCTTTCACTGACGAACTGTTGTGACTGGCCAAGGAACTGATACAACTCCACTGTAGACCATTGGTTTAACAAGGCCGCTATCTCACTGTGGGTTTGGACCTGTCAGAAGCCCTGGAATCTCCACTCATACCCTCCCATTAACACTACATCTAATGCCAGATGCTCTGCATTTTCATCTGTCAGTCTCTGTTGGAACTCTCGAAGTTTCTTATTATTCACCTATACAGGACCGTGACAGCAGCTGAGCTCAATGGCAGCAGCAGCAGCAGCCTCCCCTCCTCACCTTCACATTGCTTCGCCCAACATCAGCGCCACTTCGTTGAATCGATCGCTGCACTCCTGGGAACAGCCAGTAGGCAGCCTAGCTACAACCGACCACTACTAACCTTCCGTGTTACGCAGCTCATGGTCAGCCCAGTCAACTCGAAGTGGCCGGCCTCCACACTCCACGTTATTGAGATTACGCATTGCTGCGTATGCAGTCTCCTGATCTGCGTACCTGATACGACAGGAAATTCCCTTCACCGCAAACGAGCATCTCTACTCGCAAAATCCGTATCCCTTAGGTCGACCAGTGACCTTATCATGCATCAGCCGAAAGCTTACAACAGGACCGACCGTTGAGAAGATGCTCTTCAACTGTTCCTCATCAACATCGTAACTGAACTCGTCAGTGCGAACATGTTGATCCCTCCAGTATTACGGAACATTCCCCACAAAGACACTACAGCTCCGGTTTTGCTGTCGGAACATTACTAGTAGTAGAACCGTAACAATTGCCCTGACCACCCACCATTTAAATCACACTGATTAACTCGACACCAGAGCTAGTACGATGATAAGTAAAATATCAGAATGGGAAAACTTTGAAGTTATAAACTGCCAGCCCGAAGACATGCTGGGAAAGTTCGAAAACGCCACGATGAGAGACTGAGCTACTATCCTGGTTCGGTGACCAGATGATTAGCATACGTTAAGACCTACAACTCGACCTCCTTCTCTTCATCATCATCATCATCAGTCTCCGACTCTTTCTGATCGAGTTTACCCTTCGTCGTTTTACGATCCCTCCTGCGCTGCTTTCTTTCTTCCCTGAACTCGGCTTCAGCTCTCTGAGCCACCTCCAGAGCCGCTCGGAGCTACAACACAGCAACGGATGTACTGTTGATAATAACAACCACTGTTGCCTACCTCCGCGATCTGCTGTTGCATCTCCTGCAAACGACTAATGTCGCCCGACATTTGCAACGCTTGAACCACGGATTGAGAGCTACTCAGCTTACTATTGATATCGCCAATCAGTCTCGACTTCTCCTGAGCCTCGAACGCATCATCAAGTCGCTCTTCAGCCTGGCAGGGAAGAAATTATATAATCGATTAGAGTGGCGCGCGCTTTCTTACATAGGATAGAGCATCATCTATATCAGCGACTTCCTTCGCACTAGCATTCTTCATGGCCGCCTTTCGGTCTCCTTTCAGTTTTTTCACCAGCTGCTTCAAATTGGTGATCTCCAACGAATCTTCCAGGGCATCCGCTGACCAGAATCAAATAATAAGCTTCAATTCATTCAATGAAAAAGAGCCAGCTTGTCACTTCCCCATACGGGAGTGATGCCACCACGTTCGACAGTATGTCCATACGGAAAGCCAAACGTTCGCCCATTTCTGTGTGGCTAGATACCGAAAATGGTGGAATGCAAATGAATGTTGACGAAGTTATCGTATGACATGAGCCCTATCACTGATACTCACGCATTCTCTTCAGCTTTTTCTTACTCTTGGGCCTTGGATATTCGATACTGAAGAGAGCAGCCATTAAGTGTCGTCACCAGGGATCGAACCCGCGACCCTTCCTAACACCTACACCTCATCTTCTACCAACTCGTCAGGGCCCAATGATGTCAATGGACGTCTGTGCTGATAGAGATCAAGCCCCTCCGACCACAGTGATTGTGTTCCCTTCAAACGCTCTATCATAGCACTAGTAACCTACCATAAAAACCACATAAAAATGCCATGAGCAGGGATCGATCCCGATATCTCCGCCATTCAAATCGGCAACACTAACCTCTTGAACCTTGATTCGCTCTCGACCTTTCCTTGCCTGAGCTTGGGTACCCTCTATGACAGCCACTCTCTCGAACAGAGTGACCGCGGGATGCCAGAATTCCACTACCAGCACTAAGCCACGAATCACCACTAAAACCTACATTCCACCCTCACCATAGACGATATCTGAAGAACCTCCCGATCTAGTTATAGCCGGGTTAGGTTCCGAACATGGATCCACCACAACCGGTTCGCTGCCGAGAGCAATACCGGGTAACTAGAGAGAAGGAGGAGGAACTTCACCCATAATTTGTCAATTCGAAAGTATATCTCGCTCGCCCACATAATATATCCTTCTACCTCGACAGACTCAGTTGTGAGCATTATTGGATCCTCAGGGTCCTCCGACTCGTTGAGAGGGAAGGCCAGTGCGAGACCAGCATTATTCGAACACGTCTGATAAAGGCACATAATCAGAATCATCGACCCACGAGGACAGAGGTAGACCTACCCCAACCTGCTGGGTCGTCTTAGAGCCGTTCATTGGGACCAGTTGAATGACAGCGTTGAACAAACCAGCCACATAAGTGCTAACATCGACTAATACTGCGGCTTCATATCCCAATAGTAAATCACATAGACGAGGGTATCTGATGATACCGTCCAAATATCACAGGGAAATACCACATGTAAAATCCTACGTCGGACAATCGCCGCCCCTGAGGCCGCCTCGAACCATCAGCTCAGCCGCCTGAGGGCTCCTCGGTGTCTTCCCCCTCTTGGCAGCTTCCAAAAGTTCCTATAATCACAGCGGAGCGATGCATTATCACCAACAGAATGGTCATCACACCTCCCTGCGTTCATACAGATTGAGCGGTAACTGGAAGTTCCTCCAGGGCATCACAGGCTCGGCAGCTAAACCCTGCATGTATGCCGGATTGTCCGAGTCACCACCCATCCTCTCCCTCTTGGCCTGACAATATGCAGTGCAGAGTGAATTCTCGCTACGACTACAAAAAGCGAGATGCTTTATTACCAATCTGCCTTCATCAAGCCCGACGAGATTTGCCTCACAGAACCTCAACTGTTGATTCGCAGCAACGACCCATCCTCTATATACAACACCAACCTATAACAATGTCAATGACCACTATCCCATCATAAAGGCTCGCAGCAATACATATGTGTTATTGATGAGGAAATCACCGGGATTAGATTTCACAAGCTCCCGTTCATAAGGCTTCAGCTGATCCATCTGAACATCAACAGCAGCTATACCACGACTAGGTTGAGTACCTCTGCCCTACCGGTGGTTTATGGAGTACTTCGTTCAAGGCCTTAGCCTCGTCCTTCAGCATCATTCGCCTCAACGACCTCAAATGAACAGCGGCCGACTCGAACTTACCCTGCCATAGAGAATACGCAGGGGAGGGAGGGATTCCTGTACTAGAACTGACCTCGACCATGTAGGCAGATGCATTGTGAGCCACGAGCAGGTGACCGAGTCCTAACGAGGAATTGAACTTGCGCGGGTTTGGTGTATAGGAAGTACCATTGTTGACAAATTGTTTTTCCTTCTTGAAACCAGTCAGTTCGATAGCTTTCCCGAACCTCTCCTCAGCCACTGAGAAAACCCGAAAAATGCAACGCGGATGTATCGAACCCGGGTCCATGAGCATCCGAGCCGAGAAAACCAACTACTACGCCACAAACACTCATACTTACAATAGTGCTCATCTCTCCACCAGCTGCATAGGGCCAACTCAGCCATTATGTTGATTTTGGCAAGGCCAACGTCCTCACTCTTGACATCTACTAAGAGCTCCATAAGGCTCTTACGTAGTGCACAAGTATGGTCAGACAATAGACGCTTAGTGACTTTTTGCTAATACAAAACAGCATCAAAAATGAGGCATTCGTCAACGTGTGATACTTACTTCCTTCTTCATCTCTTTCATCGCCGCCTTGACCTCTTTTGGTACGCCACCCGGAAGGGTGTGTGCCACCTTACACTCAGTGTGTTGCAACAAAACACACACAATTATCATGACTAAAGACCCCAGAACAGGTCCAGTCGACGAGAAGGCAAGAAGCCTCATTACTGTTGTGTGTAAAAACCACTGAAAAACTCAGTCCTAGTGAAGGCTCGTCAACTCAACAAGGCTCTCATTCTTGATTTCATGTTCTCCTCCTCCAGTATGATCCTAGCCACAACATGGTAAGTGTCCAATAATAATAAACGGTTGAATTGCGCGAACACACAGTGTTCTCCTCCTCCTCTTCATAGCATTGTGAAAGGTTGAGCAACAGCTACCACTCAACAATGCTGCTGATACTTAGGATGATGACGATGTTCCAATGCGACGTAAACGACAGAGAAATATACTACTCTCACTACTATACACGCATGATGAATTCTTACTTTCTAGTGAGGTGGTAAGAACCTCAGACTTCAGAATGATCAACAACGAACCAATGACCTCTAGAGGTGATTCAAAAAGTGCCCGATGAGAGACGAAAATGATAACGATGCAGAGATGACGATGATGATGATGACTGGTGTGATGGTGATAATGATGAGGAGTATCGCCACATACCGAGTAGTGATGATGATGACGACAAAGGGAACGGATACACTAACTACGGGGACGAGGTACTACGCATGGTCTGCTCTTATAGACGACCTTCTTGGCTACTTCACGACAGTCACTTACGTATGACGAGAATGAAACGAGGTGCGACGAATGAAAAGGGACAATGTTGACGATGGTGTGGTATGGATTTTGCGAGGATAGATCTCCCCCTCCTAATCATTAATAGTATGATTGATACATATGCATCATCATAGTTTGCCAGAAAGGACTACGATGGAGTCATGCTGATACTGTTGATACTTTCAACAACAGCTTGTCCACCCCAAATGTAGTATTCAAATGTCATTGCACAAAATGATATAGAGATAAGAGGGAGCCTGCTAATCAACGACGACGACGACGCTGTTCATCGCCTCCATCAGGCCGATAACACCTACAGTGCGGTGTACACGATACAAGATATCTTTTTCATTACTTGTAGTGTCCGACCATGGATGAGGCCTAGCCTGGCTGGGCCACCAGATGCCGGCGGTATCCAGGCCATGTTAACCAACTCAACGGGTGACTCTGTTGGCTTGTCTGGCGCTGATACCTGACGAAATGAGGAAAAATGCACCCACCAGGGATCGAACTCGGATCCATCTCGCCTTCATCTCTCCGAACAGCAATGGTTTCTCCGATGTCGAATATCTTCTTAATGGGTCATACAACTTCACACTCCTACGATGCAGGCCATAATTTCGTGGCGAAGTGACAGAAATCATCTCACCCATCAGCATGGCATGTTCCCAACGCATAAGAGTTGCACCAAGCCATCGCATTGGTCCCGGCGCATACAGTATCCTGGCTACCCTCGCAGATCGGGTTCAGGCCAATCGACTCGAAACCTGTCGCAATCGCCGTCTCCCAAATACAAGCCCTTCATATCATCATAGCACCTTTTCGGGTGTCGAATACTAGACCGTAAATGGAGTCTTCCGAGAAGGTAGCGATCAAATGCTGAGAAGTTTAACGTGACCAAATTGCACTACTACGAGTGGACACCTACTGGGTTCCACTTATTCCAGTAAAGCTTATACAAAGGCGGCGGCGGAGTGTTCGATCCTGGTGCTGATGGCGACTCGTACCTTCACCCGGAGTGCCGCAGGTTGGTAGCGATGAGAATACTCACATTATAGTAGAATGATCTAGATCCCGAGAATCGAATAGCCGAAGTGAGCCATCATCGGATACAGAGCCGAATATCTGACATGCGGATAACGATTCGACAAAGGAGTGGTATGGGACTACACTCACTTTATCACTGTCTGCCGCGAAGGCCACATCTAGCACAGCCTTGTCATGAGCAATCATCTGTGTATCCATCTTCTCCCGACTGACGTCCCATAACGTGATGGTAGTATCAACAGCAGCAGCTGCCACTCGCGACGGTGACACCACGGACCAATCGAATGACGTCATGGGCGCGCTCACAGTCTGTCATACACTTGCCTTTACCAACAGCACCAAGGATGAGCCCAAAAATCATCACCTTATGTGTATTCTGCAGCTTGGCTATCTGTTCCACACTGCTTGGTAGAGCCGGGCCACCACCACCACCACCAGTGCCCGATTGTTGCTGATGCTCTTGATCATCCTCGTCATCCTGGAACGATATCTTCCAGTTGCCAGGCTACGAGACGGGAGTTACCTCTGGGGAGACGGATCCATCAGCAGGACCCCCGACTGGCTGCTGTAGTCGCCATAAGCGGAGACTTGTAGATGTTGAGGCGAAGGTGACGCTACTCAACGGGCCGGCTGTGGCGGGCATCCATAGTACCTGAAAATCCTAGGGGGAGAAGGGGAAGTCGAAACAGCCCACGTGAGACGGCGGAAAGCCGTGCCGACATGTCGCTGATACGCTCAATCCAGATGCCTCAGACGAATCCGGATCGATTATCTAAGCAGACGAGCACCCTGTTACACATCCGAAGGTCCCAGGATCTAATCCCCCCCACCGCAATATAATTGTTCATGGAGTGCCTTTGTGCACTTCCCACTGCAAATCTATCACCATCAGCTCCCACCGCCAGAGCATACACTCTAGTCGGGAATGTGTAATACTGGCAGCTACCACTCGACGACATCATCTCTCCATCACCCGATACTGCTGCTCCTGCTGCTGATAGACCGCATCCCACCGGTGATGGTGTTGCTACTGGCGCCGACGCGGTAGTGTGGGGACTCTGCGTATTTCCTCGAACTCCAACACCACCACCATCACCACAGTTCTCATCATCTCCTCCCCTATAGTAGTCCCCCGACTCACTACCAGTATCATCACAGTACCTACCCCCCCTGTCATCATCACCATCATCGAGCCCCCTCTTACCTATCCCCTTCCCCTGCTAAGATCAATGCTCGTGCTGCTTTCCTCGCCGCCTCCTCAATAGACACATGTCCACCACCAGTACTGTAACCTCCCGTCATCAAGGAGGAAGGGGGCGGCTGTGGGTTTCGATGAGTATTCTCATGCATCGTGAAAGTGTTCAAGTAACAATCCTAACTACCTCCCCCGCCACGTATACGACTGAACGCTAGAGTCTCTCAAAAGGAACATGAAACACGACTGACGAGAAGAACTCAATCAAGGCTTCAAATCTCGCATCCTCTTCTGGTAGTCTACAAGACTATATTGTAGCTGTGAACAAAGCGTGCATCTTCGTGCGCATGCGTGCAAGTGAGGGCGTACGTTTTCGAGTTCCTTCTTGACCTTCTCGGTCATTTCCTCAATCTCATCAGAAATCTCATCCATCTTATCCTGCGATCTGAACCTCTCACGTACGTTTGCCGTCGCACTCCGGTACATCGCAAAGCCAGCAAACCAGAACTGACATGCAACAACATCCACCATGACCGCGCGCCACAAAATTCATACACTGGCGACCTTAATGAAACTCAATCGTAGAAGCGATAAGACGTCTCGAATACACCCCTGTACCAACTACAAAATTATACACATTTATCGCTTCTTCCACGAAAACCCAGGGCGAAAGTGAACATGTACGTGACCATTTCCGTCAGCCAACCCACCACTAGAAATATTGGGTGTACAGCCGAAGCAGCTGCTCCTGCGATGCCAGTAAACATAAGTGATAAATTCTCCTTATTGCTTTGACCTATGATCATACCACACCTTTCTCTAATCACAGACTCAGAACTACTCTTAGACTGCGTGGGGAGGGTGTACATCCTCTGCCTCTCTAACTTTGCGTCGTCAATCTCGTGACGCAATTCAATAACAGAATTGATGCTATCTGCTACTCTCCTCGCCTCCCTCTGACACTCTGGATCTGCATCGATATCATCTCCGTTAGATCCCAGGTTCGATCCCTAACACCCACCATTATTCGGCGCTAACGATCGTATCTCTTGCGGCGTCGACATACTAGTTTTTTGAATACCTTCTGGCTTCTCCACAAACTTATTCACCTACTCCTTGCACTTCATTTTGACTCCTCCTCCTAGTACTCACCTCTAACCAAAGCTGCTTATAGAAATCATGCCTCGCTTTGAAGTACAAAGCCTGTGGTGTGGTATACCGAGTGGAGAACTCTCGCATACGACCGACACCCCTCAGACGACCTATTCGTAACA